TTGTTGAAAAATCTCATATGGTATTCCATTAATTTCTAGAGTTTCATTTCTTACTAATACCTTCAGTGCAGCTTGGACTTCTTCCTTCAATTGATTCTTGATCATATACTACCTCCTGAAATGGTTGTACATTGACCAATTATTTTTGGTTCAGTGATTCTGTGTATTGATTTTCTGTGTCATTGAATATCTTCTCTGTGTTGTTATTGTTGTTGTTGTTAGGAACCATCAAGTCAATTTCAACTCATAGTGACCCAAGGAAACACTGCCTGGTCCTGCTCCATCCCCACACTTATAATTATGCTTGAGCACATTGCTGCTACCACAGTGCAAATGCATCTTGCTGTGAGTCTTCCTTTTTAATGCTGACTCTCCACTTTATCACGCATGATGTGCTTCTTTAAGGACTGGTCCCTCTTGTCCATATTATGAGATGAAGTCTCATTGTCTTAACTTCTGAGGAGCATTATTATTGCACTTCTTCCAAAACAGATTTGTTTGTTCTTCTGGCAGTCTATAGTACTTTCAATATTCTTCTCCAACACCATAACACAAATACTTCAGTTCTAAAGTCTTCTAACTTTCATATGCACATGAGGCTATTGAAAATACCATGACTTGGGTCAGGCGCATCTTAGTCCTCAAACTGACATCTTTGCTTTTGACCACTTTGAAGGGTGCAGCAATAGGTGGTTGATTTCTTGGCTGCTGCTTCCATGTGGATCCAAGTAAAATGAAGTCTTTGACAACTTCAATCTTTTCTCCATTTAACATGATGTTATTTATTGGTCTAATTGTGAGTGTTTTTGTTTTCTTTACATTGAGGTGCAAGATATACTGAAGGCTGTAGTCTTTGATCTTCATAAATAAGTATTTTAAGTCCTCTTTGCTTCCAAAACAAGCAAGGTTGTGTCATCTGCCCATTACAGGTTGTAAATGAGTCTCCCTTCAGTCCTGATGCCATATTCTTCTTCATATAATCCGTCTTCTCAGATTATTTGCTCAACACACAGATTAAATAAATACTGTAAAAGAATACAACACTGGAACACCTACCTTGATTTTAAACCATTCAATATCCTCTTGTTCCGTTTGAATGACTGTCTCTTGGTTAATGTACAGGGTCCTTATGAGCACAAGTAAGTGTTCTGGAATACCCATTCTTCACAATGTTACACAAATCTTGTTATGAGCCACACAATCACAAGCCTTTGCAATAAAACACAAGTAAACATCTTTCTGGTATTCTCTACTTTCACCCAAGATCCATCTGACATCAGCAATGATATCCCTAGTTCCATGTACTCTTCTGAATCCAGCTTGAATTTCTGGCAGTTCTCTATTGATGGACTATTGTAGCCATTTTTGAATTATCTTCAGCAACATTTTACTTCATGTGACATTAATGATATTACTTAATGATTTTCACATACTGCTGCGTCACCTCTCTTTGGAATGGGCACAGATATTTTTCTAAAAATTGGTTAGCTAGGTAGCTGTCTTCCAAATTTCTTGCTGTAGATGAGTAAGCGCTTCTAGTACTACACCGGTTTGTTGAAAGATCTCAACTCGTATTCCATCACGTCCTGGAGCCTTGTTTTTTGTCAATACCTTCAGTGCACCTTGAGCTTCTTCCTTCAGCACCATGGTTATCGATCATATGCTGCCTCTTGAAATGGTTGAACATCAACCATTTCTTTTTGATACCATGAATCTGTGAATACCTTGCATCTCCTTTAGGTGCTTTCTGAATCATTCAATATTTTGTACACTGTTGTTAAGTGCCATCGATTTGGCTCTGACTCATAACAACCCTGTATAGAGTTTCTGGGGAGGGGCTGATGAGTTGAACTGCTGACCTTGCTGATCAAACCAACCTTTTAGTCCAGCATATTAACCCACAGTGCCATACCAGGACTCCAGTTTTGTTCATAGTATCCTTCAATATTGCAAGCTGAAGCTTGATTTTTTTTTTTTTTTTCTTCAGTTCTTTCAGATTGAGAAATGCTGAGCATGTGCTTCCCTTTTTGTTTTCTAACCCCAGGTACTTTACTTTGTCTTCTCAAGTTGCCCTTTGAAATCTTCAGTGCTCTTATGTCATCATTTCTTCCATTTGCTTTAGCTACTCTGTGCTCACTGTGTGGCGCTGTGGGCTAATGCGTCAGACTGCAAAGTCATTTGAACTGCAAGGTCGGTGGTTCAAGCTCACCAGCTGCTCCTTGGAAACCCTATACAGGGTTGCTATGGGTTGAAATCAACTCGACAGCACTTAACAACAACAACAACTCTGTGCTCAAGAGCAAGTTTCATATTCTATAGATATTTGCAAATATTGCCATGCTACTAGGTGTAAAGAATAACCAATCAAGGCACCTTTATATAACATCTATTACTTACCCAGTTCTGGACTGGGTCCCAAAGGAGATTAAAAATACCAAACGGTCCAGACCTCAAGGAATTTATAATAAATCATCACTAAGTAATGTTACTGTGATGGTGCAGGATGTTGGTAGAAATTATTCTTGATTATGTGATTATAGCTTGGAATTTATTTGATAGTTTCCTGAATTGCAATCAAGTCATCAGACGCTGTTCTTGTTAATTGCATCATAACTCACTCCTTGGATACATGAGTGATGGTACCAAGAGATGTCTGGCCACTTGACTGTAGATTTCTTTTTACACAGAGACTCCTCCAGTGCTGTTTTCTTTCACCGAAGAGACTTGGATAGAGTATGATAATATAAATCTAGAATCCAGACAATGAGACCATCTAATTGTTTGCTTAGTAATTTATTTTCTGTTACAAGTCTTCTCTGGTTAACGTCATAGATGAAAAAGAAATGTTAAGTGTCTTAGTTATTGTAGGTGCTTAGTGCCACTGTTGCAGAAATCCTACAGGTGGATGAATGCCTTTAACAAACAGAAATTTATTAGTTCACCGTTTATGAGGCTAGAAGTCCAAATTCGGAGTGACAGCTCTAGGGGAAGGCTTTTCTCTTTGTCTTCTCTAGAGCAAGGTCCTTGTCTCCTTCCTGCATCTGTAAGCTCACCATTCCTTGGACTTATCCATGTGTCTTGGCATCAATTTTCCTCTAGATTTAGGAGCTTCACAGTGCCAGGACCCCAGGTAAAAGGATGCTCTCCCTCCCAATTCTTCCTACTTGGTGGTAATAGGCCCCTCTGAGCTCTGTTTGCTTGCTAATCTATTTTATATCTCAGAAGATGTTGACTCAAAATACTATCAAATCCTATAGATTGGGTCTCACCTCATTAACCTTAGTGAAGTGAGAATGCATAGCACATAGATAATTACATCAGATCATGGCTGATCACATCAGATCACATTATGGGGAATGGAGGTAATTACATCATTACAGAGCTGCCAAGCCACTGGGCATCATGTCCCAGCCAGATTGACACATACTTTTTTTTTTTTGGGGGGGGCGGGTGCTGCAGTTCAATCCATGACAGTAGGAAAACCTAAACCTAACTTGTCTTCTTGTATTCTTGTTTTATATTATCACAGTCTGATTACTTTTAGGGATGGATACACACTACTATGATTAAGGAACAAACAGCATAAAACATTAAATATGAATACCAAATACTCTTCTCTTTGGCCTTTAATGGACCATTCATTTTATAAAGGTACCGAGAACTATGTAGACACAACTTGAGATAGAAGTGGGAGGGAGGAAAGGATTCTGCTTCTACTGAAACCCTAGTCATGCAAATATAGAATTTTTATTTCACATTATCTCTGTGAGGAAAATAATCAGATAAATCCAGTACTATGTAGTCTTGAAATGTAAACAGTCAGACAGTTATGTTTCCAGGTTGAAAGAACTAGGTATGCTTGAAAATGCCAGAGAAATCCTATTATGATTTGGTTATATACTATTTAAAGATTTTTCTAACAGTCAGCCGTGCAATTCCACCATGACAAATGTGTGAATGCATATATCCTATAAATCAAGCAGATAAGAGACAGTAACATGAATAAACAGCTGGACACAGCTGTAAATTAAAGCACTTCATTCAGAATTTTTCTCACATGTCAGCCGTCCAGAAATACTTATGGCCTTCATCAAAAATATTTCTATTATGAATGGAGTTAGAACCTTGGCTTGAAAGAGGAAAGTAGACAAATATAACACCATTGAAGTTATGCAGAAACCCTAGAGGGTGTGAATGAGTTTGAGGCCAGATTATTGCCCATTCATTGCCTTTCTTTGAGAGGTGACTGGGCCATCTTGTCTATTACCTGTCAAGTGGATTAGTGAAGAAAGAGTTGGAGTAGAGAGGTTGCCTTTGGACATACTCCTTTTTCTCTCTATGGCAGGGTGTTGCTTGTCTTTTGATGAAAGGATATCCCTTAGTCCTGCTTCTAAATTGCTCCGTGACAAATCAGTGGACAGGTTTGTCACTAGGTACCAAAGGATTAAATTGGTTATTGCAATGCTTGCTTCCAAGTTCTTCTTTGTGAAATATGGGCCATGAAACTCTGTTTCTACTTCAATTCCTGTTTCCATTAACAGCATTTGTGAACTCAATTTATAAACACAGAATGGGCACTACAGTATCCGTGTATATCTTTATGGATTTTCAAAACTGTTGCTTTCTTCATTTCAGGTCTTTTGTGTAAGGGAGTTTTAAAAGAAGCAACCTGTTTCTTCCCAGGGCTCATTGGGAAAGGCCAGTATGACAGCAGACTGGCATCTCCTGAGGAATGTGCAGATCTTGTCTACATCTGCCCATTCCACTAGCTCAGTATCTTTGGGCATTTCAGCAGTTGTTCTGAAGGCTTGGGCTGTTTATCTCCTGAAGGCAGCTGAGCTGCCTCCCATTGCATGAGCAGAGCAGTGGAATGCAGTGGAAGAGACCCAGGCCTCCGGCCACCCAGATTAGAGAGTTTTGTGCTGAGGTCCCTATATGGTTGTGTTAGACTGAAAGACAGGCTCAAGTTCATCTTTGTTCCTTGTTTGGAAAGCAAGTGGGAGGGGAACAAGCCAAGGGGCTATATAACCCTTCAGTTTCCAGTTCCCTGACCACCACCCAGAGCAGAGGAGCCCGACTGAGCACTGTCAGGGTAAGTGACACTCTCCCAGAGACCTGACTTATAGTTCCAGTGGCTCTTTGATCACCCACAATAACCAGATGTTGTTTGCAGGGGTGTGTTTGGCTGAGCTCATTAATGTTTTTGCATCAAGATTATGCTGCCTAGATGGTATCAGTTGCTAGTGCAAACTATTTAACTGTTAATTGCAAGGTCAGTTAGTATGCAGCATGGCATGCAGCCCAGATGGAAAGGATGATGGACTGAAATGTCCTTTATGCCTGCCACCTGCAAAGTCTGTTTATACTAAACCAACAGCCCAAATCAGGCAGCCCTTTACAGGTAATGCAGCTTACCCGGCTTGCCCTAGGTAATACATTTATTTGTACTTAGGTATTGGGAACTCACATTTGTTTGTGGTTCAGATTTGGTGTGAGTGTTTTTCATTGGACTGGAGTTTTCCTATCTGAAAGTAGATGTGGGGAGCAAATGGAGGGATAATTGCCTCGACATTGATTTTGGCAGAATTTGGGTTTGTTTCCTGCTCGGTCCAGTTGGAATGCCTTCTGCTAGAAGGATGTGTCTCTTAAGTGTGATTGTTAGCTTATGCTTCAGAACTTTGCGTTCCTCGCTACACAGCACAGCTGGTGACCAACTGCATCCTTCTCTGCAAAAACAGAGGGAGGGAGCGGCGTGCACATCTGACAGCTGTGTTTGGCTCAGCCTGCTGAATGTCTGATGTGCATTTTTCTCAGCCTTCCAAAGTTGCCCTCAGCCTGGCAATGCATGCGTGACTGTGGATCCAGCCCCACCACCATGGGCAGTACTGAGCTCTAAATTAGGGCTTGGCAGCTTCAGCAAGGGCAGGAGTTTTCATGCTGAGATTTTCCTTCCATTTTGTGATTCATGACTAAATATGGTTAGCATTTTAAGATTAACAAGCTGGGAATTCTAGGGTTCTTTTCCTCCTCCCCTTCCCACTGACTACTCATTTTTGGCACAAGATGTACTCTAGTCAACTGGAGCAAACCCTCTGACCTGGGTGCAGTTCCAAAAGCAGATGTTTGAGTGCATTTTACCTAATTAGGAAATGCTCTGCTCCCAAAACCAAGCTGTTGGTTCAGGTCAGATAAGAGTTGTAAGCCACCTAGGAGCTCCTTCCCAGGGACAAAGACTTTTTGCTTTAGATACAACACAATTCTTCCTGGATATTTTTGATCAAATAAAAGTACATTAACTGAATTTTGAGATTTCTTGACATGCTTGCTGATGTCGAGGAAATACTACAATTTCCTCAAACCTTCGACACAAATGCTGCCTGACCACAAGCTTTTAAGGATATCCCTGACCACATCTACCCATTTTCAGAAGCCCTTCTAAGTCCAAATGTTTTATCCTGTTTCTAGCACTTCTTTTTGGTTTAGGAAGTATGCTCAGGAATTCATTGGGTGCTAGCTGCCTCCAAGAAATGCCGTGGTATACTATTGCTTCTTTTGTCTTGTCTCCCTTACACCTCTTACCTCTTCTAATTTCTTAATCTACTATGAAGGATTGCAAATTACAAGACTGCTAAATATAATTCAGTTCTTGGAAAGGGGAGGGAAGAATGAGAGAGGATAGAGCAAGCCATTTATAAATCCTGTGTTCCATTCTTACACAAGCTGAGGATTTCAGTAGACATACCTTAGGTAGCAAAGATACATAATAGCAGTGATGACGTGACCATTTACTCAGTGCTCATAGTGTATGAACTCATTGCCATTGAGTCCAGGCCAATAATGATCCTGCATATGGTTTCTGAGACTGTTTATCTTTACAGAAGAAGACTTCCTCTTTCTCCCACGAAGCAGCTAGTGGGTTTGAACTGTCGACTTTGTGGTGAGCAGTCCAGTGTTCATTCTAAGCCACTATAAACAACTTTTCATTTCTATTTACAAAGGCTAATTCCTAGAAGAATTCTATGTGGTGTGTATATACATATTTTAAAGATAAGGACGATATTTGCAGATGTTACAGCTTGTCAATGGTAGAGTTCACATTCACATCTGGGCAGTATGATTTCAGAGTCTAAGTTCGTATTCACTGAGCTCTGTCACCTCTCTTGTCCTGTCTTTGCCAGTTTGGGAAACTTGTATAACTCATTTTCACTCTTTGAGCCTCAGCTTCCTCATCTGTTAACTGGAAATATTACGTGCTTGGGTTTTTAAATGCATTGTCCCCTTCAAGGTTCACAGTCTTTGCAAAGGGTTAAGCACTATGAGGAATTGCTGTCGCAGGCTTCGGACTCTGACTATAATACTTCATTTTCTTTTCAGTGTTTTTTATAGAGTTGCTTTTTACACTGAAGTCTAGATGTAGAATTAGTTCACCAATTTTACAAAAAGAAAATATTCTTTCTCAGCTAGAAATCCTAACTAAAATCTCAGTGCCAGACAGAGAACTCTGAGTATCTTTATTTATGAACTGTTTCCCCCTCATTCCGCTTAGAAAAATGGAAAAAGTCCTGATTGGAAGCCAAGAGGCAATTTGTAATCGATATCAAGTTCTAACAACCTTTGTAACCCTAAGTAAGTTCTCTTCCTGGATTTTCTCATTTGTGCAAATGAAGGCATTAAATGAAAATACTCTCCTTCAATTTCCCATAGGGATGAGTTGATACTTGTGCTCCAGCCTTTAGAGTGAACGCTACAAAATTTTGAATCATTTCATGTTTTTTTCTGAAGGTTAAATATAAGTCTCCCAGATCCAAAAAGTATTTCCTTCTAAACATTTTACATTAAACATTGTCAGCATTTTCAAATTTCTGCAAGTTTTCACAAATTTTATTAAAGCATACAAGCTTAAGGGTGACTATTTAAAGCAATAATGTTTTATTATCAAAGGTTGTTGTTGTTGTTAAGTGCCGTCAAGTTGGTTCCGATTCTTAGCAATCCTGTATAGGGTTTCCAAGGAGCAGCTGATGAATTAGAACCACTGACCGCGTGGTTCAAACCAACCTTGCAGTCCAGTTTGTTACCCCACAATCCACATCAGGACTCCTATATGCTCAATTGGAAAAATGTGGAAAACATTAGGAAACCCAAGAAAGAAAATCTAAAATACCTGTAAAATCTACGCTCCAAGATAACCCAGTCATCATCTTGACAAATTTGATTGTTATTGTTGTTGTTGTTGTTATGTGCCGTGGAATCGACTCATAGTGACCCTGTACAGGGTTTCCGAGGCTGTAAATCTTGACGGGAGCAGAAAGCCTCATCTTTCTCCCATGGAACAGCTGGTAGTTTTGAACTGCTGACCTTAAGGTTTGCAGATTTGTCTCTTGTAATTCATGTAAATCTATTTTAATGGGATTCTACAACATATGGTGATGTTGTTGTGAAGTGCCTTCGAGTCAGTTTCGACCCATAGTGACCCTGTATAGGGTTTCTGAGGAGCAGCTGGTGAGCTCGAACCGCCGATCTTGCAGTTCAAACGGAGTTGCAATCTGGTGCATTAACCCACAGTGCCACACCAGGACTCCTACACAGCATATACTTTCTCTAATTTATTATTTACAAAATGTTGTATCTTTAGCTTATTTTTCCTTGTCTTGCTTAATCGTAGCCCAGCATGCTTGTACAGAATACATAACTCAGATTCACCCTCACAATTGTACTCTTAGACTGTTTAAACTATTTTTATTAATGGAGAATACAATGACAGTCCCTAAAATTTAGTGTGAATTCTTAGAAAGTTTTGAATCATTTCATACTTCTCTGAAGGTTCAATATAAATCCCCCAGATCCAAAAGGAATTTTTCTTTGAAACAGTTTCAACATTTTCAGATTTTCACACATTCCTCATTTCTCAATAGCTAATTTTCAAGGGGAAAAGAAGTTGAAATATGTCTAGAAAAATGTGAGTTTGGGCTTATTAAAAAAAACAAATTCTAGATACTTCTTTAACAAATGGTAACTGACTTGCCCTGTGAAGTTCGTGGACTTCCTTCTGCATGCTAAAGCTCTGGGACTCACATCTGTATACTGAAGTTTCAGCTCTTTTGATCCATCTTTAAAGTACTTACTGAGCAGATTTGGTGTGCCAGCTACTGTGTTAGGGCCCAGGTATATGAACATGGAAGTCACAATTTCTGCTTATAATAATCTCACAGTCTAATAAAAATTGTTGTAAGATGTCATAGAGTCGGCCCCTGTCTCATGGTGACACCACACACAACAGAACACAATTCTGTCTGGTCCCACATCAGATCCCTTGCCTCTATATGACCAGTTGTGGATTAGACCATTGTGATCCATACAGTTTTCACTGGCTAATATTCAAAAGCAGTTGTTCTTTCTTCTTAGTCTGTCTGTCTCAGTCTGGAAGTTACCCTAAAGCCTGTTCACTATCGTGTTGTTGTAATTACAGTGAACCTGTATAGAGTTTCCGAAGAGAGGCTGGTGGATTTGAACCTCCAGTCTTGCAGTTAGAAGTCCAGTGCTTATCCTACAACACCACACCAGGACTCTGTTCAGTATCACAACAATGTACAAACTACCACTGACTGAAGGGTACTTAGTGAACATGAGAAGTGTTGGCCTAGAACTGAAATTGGGTCTCCTGCATGGGAGATTAAATTTAAATGACTTGAGTTAAATGTGGTGTTAGATAAGGACCAACAGAGGAGCCCCAAACCCAGGCCAGAGGTAGAAGTGCTCCGTTAAACACTGTAACTGCTGGATTATAGTTGGACCGGCTTCCTCCTGTCCCCTATAGGATTCCGTGAAGTAGCTCCAGTTGAAGATGTGTGAAGAAGAGGACAGCACTGCCCTGGTGTGTGACAATGGCTCTGGACTCTGTAAGGCTGGCTTTGCAGGGGATGATGCTCCCAGGGCTGTTTTCCCATCCATTGTGGGCCGTCCCCGACATCAGGTGAGCAAACTTCTGAAGGAACAGAGAGAGCAGGGCTATAGATTTAGTGTCTCTGTGTCTGTGGTAGCCACAGATTGCTTATCACTCTGCCCAGTGGTGATGTAACCTTGTTAAAAACACATTTTAAAGATCTGATGACCGGGATAAATGCCAGTTCCATATGTCAATATGTAATGTAGCTAGCTTGTCCTATAGGTTTCTATTCCATATACAGTCTGCTCCTTTTTCATGTCCTTTTTTTTTAATAGAATCATTGTCTAAATCATTACAATCAGAAATCCTTATGATATACTGTGATATATACTATAGCTAGTCTTTGGGGAAAAAAATGAAAATAAAGACCCATGTCCCTCACCTTCATAGATCTTAATGTTAGATCAAAGTAAACATTTTTACCAAATGTAATTTTTCATAATGTTACCTATCAACAAATATATCTGGACAGCATGCTAATTTGTATAATCTTACACAATGTATACAAAAAATGTTGGCATCCATATGACAAAATTTAACTTCAGAAATTTCTATTTGCATCAGAAATGTAATTTATGCATTCAGTTGATCTGATTGATGTGTATGACCCTCAGATAGGCAAACATTTACCAATGAGTGATTTCGTCTCTTTGTTTTATCTCTGTGCCCTGGAGATATTTGTGACAAGCAGTCTTTTATGGATATATGAGAACTTTGGCAATTCTAAAACAGTCCTTCTGATGCAATTTAAAATCAAGCTTTGAGATTTCTCTTTCTTTTTTTTAAGCTTTGCCTTAATGATTTTTTTTTTTTTAATGCAGCTGACTAGCTTAGGCAAATATCTCATGACTGATTGATATAGATTAATCTATTAGCAATCACATAGTCAGCTGTAGACTTTTGCTTCTAATGGTTGTTGTTGTTGTTGTTAAGTGCCGTCGAGTCGGTTTCCACCCATAGCGACCCTGAATAGGGTTTCCGAGGCTGTAAATCTTTACGGGAGCAGATCGCCTCATCTTTCTCCCGCGGAGCAGCTGGTAGTTTCGAACTGCTGACCTTCCGTTTCGCAGCCCGATTCGTAACCACTACGCTACCAGAGCTCCTTTAGAAACCAGTAGTTATATAATCTTGGAGTAAGTGACAACTTCAAAGTGCAGTTTGAAGGATTTATAAGACACAAATGTCATTTAATTAAATGTAAATTTTTATGTTCATTCAACAAAAAATTATTAAGTGTCAAATATGTGCCAGGCAATTTGATAAAGTGTTGAACAAGACACTTTGTTTGCCCTTATAGATCCCAAGGAGCATAGAAGATAGAAAAAGTAGAAAGTGCCCTTCTCCACAGGGTTCCTTGTTTTTAGGAGACAGTTTCAAGCCACTTTCAATCAGTAAGGGATGTTGCTTAAGAGCAAAGTGATGCTAAGTCTCAATGTGCTGTTGCTGCTATCAGAACAGGAGCTTTCAAGATCAACAGTTTAACCCTTGGTAATTTGACTGTATGAAGTCACACGTTTTGGGAGAGGCTGACTTGTAACCTGTTGAATCCTTTTAGGGGGTGATGGTGGGAATGGGTCAAAAAGACAGCTATGTGGGCGATGAAGCACAAAGCAAAAGAGGAATCCTGACCTTGAAGTATCCAATAGAACACGGCATCATCACCAACTGGGATGACATGGAAAAGGTACTGGAGGCTTCGTTGTGGTTTAGCATTCAGATCCAAAACATCATGCTCCTGCTGGGGAAACAAATTGTTCTTTTACTGGCAAGCATTGATTCTGAATTATTTTTATTAACTAAAAAAAGGCAGAAATGTTTCTTTGGGGGAAAAAAATGTCCATGCTTAACAAAGATTAGGAACTAGCTGTCATTGTTGATTGGTGCCACCGAGTCAGTTCCGAGTCATAGGGACCCTGCATAGGTTTCCAAAGAGCAGCTAGTTGATTTGAACTACCAACCTATCAGTTCAAACCAAACTTGCGATCCAGTACTTATCTTACAGTGCCACACCAGGACTCCATGAACTAATTGTTGTTGTTGTTAAGTGCCTTTGAGTCAGTTCTGATACATAGTGACCCTATATAGGTTTCTGAAGAGTGGCTGGTGAGTTTGAACCGCTGACCTTTTGCCTCAAACCAACCTTGCAGTCCAGTGCATTATCCGGCAGTGCCACATCAGAGGGGAACATTTCTGCAGATTAAGACAACAGCTCCTTGCCAGTGGTGGGAATTAATCGTCTACTGCTGCTGTCCGCTAGATTACCCTCCCAGGAGAAGCATTGTCTCTGCAGAGAATGTGTGGCTATGTCTTGCAGAACAACATTACTAAAGAGGCGCTGAGGTGATAGGAATACTTTATCTCCCCCATTCTTGAAAGATTTTCATTAACACACTGAATTAAAAAAAATTTTTTTTGTTATTTTGAGTTCCCACTATAGAAAAAGGAGCTCTGGTAGCGTAGTGGTTATGAATCAGACTATAAACCTTAAGGTCAACAGTTTGAAATTACCCACTGTTCTGCAGGAGAAAGATGAGGCTTTCTACTCCCATAAAGACTTACAGCCTCGGAAACCCTGTACAGGGTCGCTATGAGTTGGAACCGACTCCATGGCACATAACCACCACCACAGAACAGGGAACTGTTGAAATTACAGATTTAGTGCATTCCTAAATGCCTCTTAAAATATTGAAGCATAATAGTAGCTGACAAAATTTAAAGGACATTAAAAAAAGTATCTCTTCTGTGTTGAATAAAAATGAGGTCTTTATCTCCCCCAAACCAGTTACCTTCAGGTGGGTTCTGACTCATGGCAGCCTCTGTGTGTTAGAGTAGAACTGTGCTCCAGAGGGGTCACAATGGGTTTGGTTTTGCTCAGATACTTACTGAATGTGATTTCTTGAGTGAGTTACTCATGTTCTTTGAGCTTCACTCTCTGCCTCTATAAATATGGAAACAGGGAATGAGTACCTGTAACATTTCACTTGGGTCTGGTTTCCCTTAGATCATTCTGGTCCCTTTTCAAGGTCTGCAGTGCCCCAGGATGTCACATCTTTGTGTTTTTCCTCTTCTTCCCACCCCCACACTCCAGATATGGCACCACTCTTTCTACAATGAGCTTCGTGTTGCCCCTGAAGAGCATCCAACCCTGCTCACCGAGGCACCTCTGAACCCCAAGGCGAATCGGGAGAAAATGACCCAGGTAAACACCCACCCCAGGGCTCAGCGGTGAAATGATGGTGGCTGGTGGTGCTTTTGTGTTTGAGGAAAGGCCAGTAGTGAGAAGGTCCAAAGTTGCCATGTACTAATGGATTGGCCACTCTCCAGGAACTTATGGATTCTAAGCAGCAGGAACATAAATAATGTCAAGAACATAAATAATGTTCATTTCTGAGTCTTAGTGTCTATGAATTGGGTATAAAAATATTATCATTATTTGTCAAAGGATTGAAGTAAAGCTTAATAAAACAAAAGGATAAATGTTTATCATGGAGCTGATGTAGTAAACATTCAATAACTAGAAGCCATAGTTATTATGATCGAAACTACCAGCTGTTCCACGGTAGAAAGATGAGGCGTTCTGCTCCTGTAAAGATTTACAGCCTCAGAAACCCTGCACAGGGTCGCTATGAGTCAGAACCGACTCCACGGCACATCACAACAACAACATAGTTATTATAAGTATTGTTATTTTTCTGATGTTCAAAAGTACTTACAGTTTTCCAGACAGAGTAGGTTTCTAGTTTGTGTGAGTTATTAAATACCATCTAACAGCGATTATGCTTGCTACGGTCAAGCACTGTTGTGTCCTTGATTCCTAACAATAGCTGTTTAAGGCAGAGCCCATTATTATCCTGATCATCTATAATCATTCCTTGGTATCCAAGGGGTATTGGATCTGGAAAGCCCCAGATAGCAAAACTCAAAGATGCTTGAATCTCTTACATAAAATGACAAAGTATTTGCATATAATCTACATATACCCTCCTGTATATGTATAAAGTGACTCCTGTATACTTTAAATCTGCTCCACGGGAGAAAGATGAGGTTTTTCTTCTCCCGTAAAGATTTACACCCTCGGAAACCCTGTACAGGGTCACTATGAGTTGGAACTGACTTCTCGGCACATAACAACAACAACATACTTTAAATGATCTCTAGATTACTTATGATGACACCGAATACAATGTAAATGCTATGTGAATAACACTTTATATTCTTTCTTAACTTTTGAAGGATTGCTTTGATCACTTAGTTGTTTCCCCTTCTTTCAATATTTTCAATCCATGATTGGTTGAACTTTTGGCTGTATGGAGAGCTGACTGTAAAGGAAGAAATCTAGGTTCAGGTGTTCTGATTGTCTCACAGATAGAAGTGGCAAGACTTGGAACTGTCCCATGATCTCTCAGCTTTGGAGAAAAACAAATGCAACTACTGTTGGGACCAACACATTAGCACCTATCCAGGAAATACGTGTGGGCCTGGAATGTTGTTCCTAAAGAGAATTGTTCCTGGGGATGGGATGAATGCAGAACAAGGGTTGGGAAGTGCAAATGCTGTAAAACTTTATAGTTACTAGAGGTCTTACAGATGGGAAAATAAGTCCAGGGGCATCTTCTGATGCACAAACTTCACAAGAATGACCTGGAGGTCTTTGGGGCCCTAGTATCACCCCTGGACTGCTGACGCAGAGGTTGGTATTCAAATATTGCTGGCAGGCAGTTTCGGTAGTCCAGGAATCTGAGCCTCTCCCCAGGCAGTTAGAATGGCCTGTGGCTCTGGGCCTGACATTGAGAGAGCAACTATATTGAAAAGTTAAACAAGAGACCAGAACTGGGACTAAGTCCAACCAGTCTAAGCTCCATGTTCCAAAGGTCTCCCTCCGGGACACCTGGAAGATGTCTTATATGTCCCTTAGGGCTTAGAGAGTTAGTAAGTCGTACATTGTCCATGCAACTACCAGCTGTCCCACAGGAGAAAGACGAGGCTTTCTGCTCCCATAAAGATTTGCAGCCTCAGGAACCCTGTACAAGGTCATTGTGAGTCGGAGCCGACTCCACGGCACACAACCACCAGACTGTCCAAGCAGGAAGAGCCTTAAAGTTTGGGTCTGCAAACTCTCACACCTGAATGACACTAGTCAGCAATTAATGAATTCTCCCAGGTCACATTCAAATCAAAGCGAAAGCCGACTCTAGAGCTAGGCCTTCCTGACCCCTGGCTAGGACCACCCTTTCCCACTTCATCAGGGCACCCATGTGATGGTCTCTCTATTCACTTCATTTCTTCTGTTCCAGTGACCAGCACTGCCTTGGCCCTCCTTTAGTTTGGTTTCCTCTGCTCAGAACATGGCAGGCACATCTGCATGCTCTCTAGAACATTCTTTCTTTATAGGATTGGAAGCACCACTAACTGAGCTCTTTGGGTTGCTTTACAGATCATGTTTGAGACCTTCAATGTCCCAGCCATGTATGTAGCTATTCAGGCTGTGCTGTCCCTGTACGCCTCTGGACGTACAACTGGTAGGTGGTTGGGAGGAGTGGGAGCCTTGCTTGAATACACTGCCGGGTCTGAGATTTGAGGGTTGTAAACTTGTGGGCTATAATGGATTGGGGCGCTGTTCACGCTAACAGTGAGAATACTTTTCCTAAAAGATCATTTTACCTTTAAAAATAGGCCCTTGACCACGTATTTCTGGCAGAACTCTCTATTGTTTTCTTCTTTCTACTATTCCTTTTATTATCTGTCTCAAGCCCTACCCCACCCACCTCTCCAATTAAATGCCTTCTTTCTTCCCTCTCAATTATGAGGATTAGAAATTCTCTCTCCCCCAAGCCTTCCTTCTACTAAACCCAGTGAACACACACCAGCTGCTGTGGTGACTTTTATCATTCCCAACTGTCACCCAGGCATTGTGCTCGACTCTGGAGATGGTGTCACCCACAACGTGCCCATCTACGAAGGCTATGCCCTGCCCCACGCCATCATGCGTCTGGACCTGGCTGGCCGAGATCTCACCGACTACCTCATGAAGATCCTGACCGAGCGTGGCTATTCCTTTGTGACTACTGGTAAGACCATAAGAGAGGAAGGGCAGAGGGTGCAGACACAGTGTGCTCTTCATAGTAATTTAGGTGCTATGGTAACTATGGTGTGTGCTCTTCATAGTAACTTAGAGACTATGGTAACTATGGTGTGTGCTCTTCACAGCAACTTAGAGACTATGGTAACTATGGTGTGTGCTCTTCATAGTAACTTAGGAACTGTGATAACTATGGTGTGTGCTCTTCATGATAACTTAAGGACTGTGGTAACTATGGTGGGGGTCTTATGAAGACGCAGTGTGTTCTTCATAGTAACTTAGGGACTATGGTAACTATGGTGTGTGCTCTTCGTAGTAAATTAGGGATTGTGGTAACTATGGTGAGAGTCTTGTGCAGACGCAGTGTGCTCTTAATAGTAACTTAGGGACTGTGGTAACTGTGGTGTGTACTCTTCATAGTAACTTAGGTGCTATGGTAACTATGGTGGGGGTCTTGTGAAGGGCAAGCCTGTTTCTGATGCAGCACAGGGTAAAACACAACATTTCTCGTTAAGCAAAATTGCAAAATGATCATATTTGAGGAGAGCAGGTCCATTGTCTAATATGAGACAATCCCTTCTGTTCACAGAGCAGAGACTGATGATGATAGTGTGGTGTGCTGGTTGGCAGTCTTTGGAGACAGCTGGAGAGGACTTGGCTTCCAATTCTGCTACTCACTAGCTCTGTGACCTTGAACAAATTCTCCTTCTCTCATGGATACACCAGGCTCTTCACCTGTAAAATGGGGAATAATAGCCCCTACCTCACATGGTTGTTGTATTAACTAGGATGGTGCATATGACATGCCTGGACACAATGAAAATTCAGTAATTGTCAGCTATTAGTTATAAATACCAGTTTGTTGGCATTACTAATTAGTTATTAATGATCAATTAATTGCTATTATTAATATCTGCCAAGCCAGGCTAAGCCTACGGCTGTCCAGTCAATTCCTGCTCAAAACTACCCAATAGAACTGAGTAGATCGTTACTTTACAGGACACTATAGAGTAGAACTGTCCAGTGAGTTGCCAACATGGAAAATCTTTATAGAAGCTGACTGCTACATCTTTCTCTTGAGGAGCAACTGGTAGGTTAGAACCACTGGCTTTTAGGTTAGCAGCTGAGTGTTTTAACTACATGCTAGCAGGACTTCTTAATACCAACCCAGTAATCAAAAAAAATCTAAACCAATTGCATGGAGCTGAGTCCAACTTCCTTCAACCACATGTGCTATAGAACAGAGCTGCACTTTGTAGGGTTTTCAAGGCTGTGGCCTATTGAAGCAGACTGCCAGAACTTTCTTACAAGGCACTGCAGAGTGTCCTTAACTGCCAGCCTTTGCAATTAGTACTCAGGTGCTTTACTGTTTGCACCACCATGAAATGTCTTGACGCTAAGTAGATTCCACCAACCCTCATTCCCTAAGAGAATAGCGTCAGACATTACTAGAAACTGAGAGGTCCTAAGTGTCTGTGGCTCTAGCTGTTTGCCTCCCCGTCACCATTTTGGTGTTGTTCTAAAGTTTACTTCTGCACATGCCTGAGACTTACTCTGGATTCTAGACTTATTCTGGAGACTTAATCTGATGATATTGACATTTTGGGGGGTAAAGAGTTGCTTAATTCCATTCCTACTCGACTCTTCACAGAAAATGCCAAGATACCTCCAAAAGGTTCCCAGAGGCCCATATGCAGGCAATGGCTTAGACTTTAAGAGTGCAGGAGTCTGAAATGCCCAGTCTTCCATTGCTCCATCATACATTGCTGGAACATTCTGGACCAGGAGTGGTCCTGGAAGGTGGTGGATGTCACAAGGGCTCAAGCTGGAACTTGCCTGTGTTGGGCAATATGAATCCCTGAGGATGTTTGAAACTTGTGGATCCCTAATGAGAGGAGTCATCGTAAGACTTCCTGGCCAACTGACAATCATATGCGTTGTTGTTAAGTGCCACCGAGTGCATTCTGACTCACAGAAACCCCGTATAGGGTTTCCTGGTGCTTTTGAACTGCTACCTTGCAATTCAAATCAATTTTGCAGTCCAGTGCTAATCCTATAACACCACATCAGGATAACAAACTATTATAAAGCAGTTATTACAGAGGTGATTGTATCTGCAAAATAGCTACTGTACAAGAGTTTGTACTCACTTTATTCCTGTTATGCATTTTTCAGATAATATTTATTAAAAGGAGTCCTGGTGTGATCCTGTGGGATAAACACTAGACTGCTAACTGAAAGGTCAGTGGTTCAAACATGCCAGCTGCTCCTTGGAAACCCTACACAAGGTCGCTATAAGTTGGAACAGACTGGGTGACACGTAACAACGACAATGTGTGTGAGGCACTATGCTAGGAACAGGTGTCTTCCTTAGTGGACCTACGGTTAAGTACTGTCATGGGTTTGGGTTGCAGAGTATTGAACTTCCACACTGCTTGAAGGTAGTAAGTGAAACAAGGCAAGTGGATCTTTAATGCCTGTGCAAACCCTGTTATTTACCATAATGTTTGCATCTTGTTTGCAGCTGAGCGTGAGATTGTCCGAGACATCAAGGAAAAACTATGCTATGTGGCTCTGGACTTCGAAAATGAGATGGCCACTGCCGCGTCCTCCTCCTCTCTGGAGAAGAGCTACGAGCTGCCTGATGGTCAAGTGATCACAATCGGGAATGAACGCTTCCGTTGTCCTGAGACCCTGTTCCAGCCATCCTTCATTGGTAGGTAACAAACATCCTTGCCTTGGAAAGGGGTGGTCTCCATTTTCTTCCATATCTAGCCAGCCCTTAGCTACCAGATTCATTCTGCCCCTGGAGCACACAACAGTGTCCACAGATCAAAACATTTCTAAACCAGAGCAAGGCAAAGAGTAGCACGTTTTTAAGGCAACCAGAAAGGAAGTTTTCTATTTAGGAAAACACTAATGTTCTGTGCGGTTGTCAAGTTAACAGCATTCCTAGTGTATGATGAAAGAATCAGATATTGTCTGTAGGACACAGGAGAGCTTGGGGGGTGGATGAGGGTGGGAGGGTTGCTGAGTGTTTGGAACTGGCAGCGGGTAGAGAAATGAAAAAGCAACCAGAATGAGCCTATGATATCATTAGTGGTGACTTTGGGAGACAGAATAGCACAGCTGTTTACAGAGTGCAAGAGGCTGGATTTGGAGAGAGAAGTCCTAGTGTGGTGCTGTAGGATAAGCAAGATTGGTTTGAACCACAAGGTCGGTGGTTCAAACTCACCAGTCATTCCTCGGAAACCCTATACAGGATTGCTATGAGTCAGAACTGACTTGAAGGCACTTAACAACAACAGCAATGATAATATTGGAATTGGATCTTAGTTCTACCCCATTCTATTGTTCTCACCTTGGGAAAGTCACTTAACCCCGCCCCCCCCCCCCCCCCCCCCCCCAAGCCTCAGACTCTTCATCTCTAAAATGGGGATCCACATAATGCCTATGCCATAGGGTAGTTGTGGGAATTACATGTGCTGGTAATTCTAGTGACTGGCAAACAAGAAGAACTGGGGAGTTGTGAATTATTACTACTGGAGTCTGTGGGTGGGACAAGCAGTCCATGTGCTCGGCTGCTGACCAAAAGCTTAGAAATTCATGGTCACCCAGAGATGATGCAGAAGAAAGCCCTGCTGGGCTACTTCTGAAAAACAACAGCCATTAAAACCACATATTTAGGACAAGATTTTGATTAAGAAAATAATAATAATAGCATGCAATGATGATTATGAGGAGACAGGAAGGAACAAGATTCACTGGTAGAGGGTGGTGATAGTCATGGTTGTGCGCCACCGAGTCGGTTCCAACTCATAACGACTGTGTATGGGGTTTCTGAGGCTGTACGTCTTTAAAGGAGTCCTGAATCATGAGCTGAGCTGTCAGCAGTTCAAATCTACCAGTCGGTGCAGGGGAGCAGTTAGAGGGTAGACACCTGCTAACCTGGGTGACAGAGCAGTAATATACAACAAGTGGGAGGTTGGCAGAGAGAAAACAAAGGTAGCAGGAGACACGGAGAGGAGTACAAGAGTTCACGTGAGTAGAGGTAAATGCTGATGGTACATGCAGGGGATTGTAATGAAGCAAAGTACATGGCTGTTGAATGCAAAACTGATGATCATCTGTTCTATAAACCTTCACTTCATTCACACTAAATGTTAAAAACAACAACAACAACAAAACCATATTGAGGACAGTTCTACTCTGACACTTGTGGGGTGGCCATGAGTTGACTTGAAGGCAATTGGTTTTGTTTTATTATCATTATTATAATTATCATCGTATCCTAGCCCTGCAAAATGTTAAGGGCCACCTAGAAATGTTTTTCAAAAGGCCCACATCAAATATTTTTTATAAGTTTAGATAAATAAACACTGCTAAGTTTGAAGAAAGATGAGTTTGTCCATTAGGATGAGACATCTTTCTGATGATGCAGCACCATTGGCTCTTGGTGTGAACACAAGGAAGCAGCTGAGGAGGTGCTGGTAGAACAGTGGCTGTGCCTTTGGCTCAGCGTGGAACCTTCTGCAGGGAGTCAAAGGCGTTGTCCTTTGTTTGAATCATGCATGGCAGTATATCCCTTATAAGTCAGCAGTTTTTGTGTTTGCCCCTCTGTGGAGATGCTGCTGCAGAGCTTTCTTATTAGGTAAAAAATGAACCAAAGCAAAGACCTTTGGTTTTTCAGATGGATGGTTCCTGGGTTATTATGCCCGCCTAGCTTCCAGGACCTGGAGTCCTGGCGTGGTGCTGTGGGCCAATGCGCTGGACTACGAAGTCAGTTTGAACTACAAGATCGGAGGTTCAGTCTCACTAGCTGCTCCTCTGAAACCCTAAATAGGGTCACTGTGGGTCAGAATTGACTCACGGCACTTAACAACAACAACAGTTTCACTCCTGGTGTGGCACTATAGTATAAGCACTGGACCAAAAGGTTGGTTTGAACTGCAAGGACAGTGGTTCAGACTCACCAGCCATTCCTTGGAAACCCTATAGAGGGTTGTTATGAGTCCGAATCGACTCGACGGCACTTCACGACAACAGATTCAGTCCAAAAGATGTCCTGCTGGTGCAATGGTTAAGCACTCAACTGTGAACTGAAAGGTCAGTGGTTTGTCCAGAGAAAAGAGACGTCCATCTGCACCCATAAAGATTAGAGACTAGGGAACCCCATTGGGTAGTTCTAGGCTGTCTGGTAGGATTGCTATGAGTTGGAAAGGACTTAACCACACGCAACAATTAAAACAACAACAGTTTCAGTCAGCGTAAGGTCACTCAGTCATTCAAGTCCAGTCTTCTATATCTAAGTTATGCTTATCCCCCATCCAATGACCATGGTCTATTGCTTTTCCAGGGATGGAATCTGCTGGTATCCATGAAACCACATACAACAGCATCATGAAGTGTGATATCGACATCCGAAAGGATCTCTATGCTAACAATGTCCTCTCAGGGGGCACTACCATGTACCCTGGCATTGCTGACCGGATGCAGAAGGAGATCACAGCCCTAGCACCGAGCACCATGAAGATCAAGGTATAGCTCAGGCTCCATGGTTAGGCCACCAGTGGGGCCAAGCGTAGCCACAGCTTGGTTTAATGCGCTCATAGATTCCAGGGGTAGGCAGTGCGTAAATGTCAGCCCAGTTCACAAATCAAGTTGAATAATTTTGCACAAAATTCAATCTATACTCACCTTTGTCCATAAGCAGGTGTAATAAGGCTCACATCATTAAAAAATGTACATTTTATTGGTTTTCCTTCTTTCAAATATAGTGCATTTTCACATGTATAAAATGCAGACTTTTCTGAAGCAGTGTAAGCCCTGTAGACTTAGCAGACTGTATTATCTTTGCAACTTTTCTCTAAGTCTAAATTTATTAAAAACAAACAAAAAATACCTGGGGCACACCCTGGGTTAAATATTGGATCTGACACTATCCGATACAACCAGTGTGGCCTGTACTCAGCCTCCATTTCTCCATCTATAAAATGGAAATAATTTAAGACTCACTCTTTAAGATGATTGTGAGAATTAAATGGAATAAATAAGGGGGCTTCAAAAAGTTCATGGGAAAATGGAGTTTCAAGATAACGGAATTTCCCCACTAACTTTTTGGAATGCCCTAGTACATGTAAAATGGTTAGCATAATGCCTGGCTTATAGTAAGTGTTTAAGAATTGTTAGCTCTCTTTATTAAAAATGAACTCTAAACCAGAGTCAACCATGGTTAAATATTTTGCCTGTTGCCCCAAAGTGTCCATATTCATGTTTACCCAAGATTCCAAGAGTAAAACAGAACATAGAATTTCTTGACTCTAGTTGTTTTCATGATGCTACATGTTGACAAGATCGCTGGCTCGATTCCCAGCTCTCTCTGCCATGCAGCCATGACATCTTTGAGCCCAAATCATGTTAAGAAACACTCCATGCCCTTGCATGGCAGGCTGTGCTGTGGGCAAGACCAGCAGAATGCTTAACTGCAATCTATCCCAGGGCACATTCATCTAATACAGGACCTGGAACCTATGGAATTCCAGAGTACAGGAATTGACTTTATCAGGTGCAGGAACACGTGTGTAATAAGTTAGACTGCTTCCTTTGGAGACGCTGGTGTTTGTTTGTACACTAAGGGTTTACCCTACTGAATCCTGAGGTACAGCACATGGAAATCAGAGACATTGCCAAGGCGCTCAAGTGGAGGCCACCACAGTCTTTGAGGCCAACTTTCAGGTTGCCAAATAGAGCAAAGGCAGTAGAAGTATGTCGAAGGCTTTGAATGGATTGTGTGAAGGGATTTGCTCCTTGAAGCAGGTCTACATTCATAACCTACTCTCACCCTCTTGATATCTAATATGGAGGCTTGGTGGCACAGCGGTTAAATGCTCAACTGTTTACTGAAAGGTCCAGTGTTGGAACTCACCAGCAGCTTCGAGGGAGAAAGATGTGGCAGTCTGCTTCAGTAATGATGTTTAGCCCTGGAAACCCATGGGCAATTCTACTCTGTCTTACAGGGCGTCTGTGAGTCATAATCCACTTGATGCAATGGATTTGGTCTAGGCTGCATACGGACTTGCTAACAACCAAGTCCATGAAAAGTGGGCCAGAGCAGAATGCCCAGATCTCATCCTAGAGCGCTAAATGACCTTTCTTTTTCATCCTGATCCATAGATTATTGCCCCTCCCGAGCGCAAATACTCTGTCTGGATCGGTGGCTCCATCCTGGCTTCGTTGTCCACCTTCCAGCAGATGTGGATCAGCAAACAGGAGTATGATGAAGCCGGGCCCTCTATTGTCCATCGCAAATGCTTCTAAAACATGCCTCTGCTCTGTCTGTCTGTAGCACATAACTGTGAAGGTTTTGTGGAATACTGTCTTAGCTCCTTTCCAAATCATTCCTAGCCAAAGCTCTGACTGGTTGGTTACCTATGTGTTTTTTAAATAAACCTGAAATTTGCCTTCTGTAAAATACTGATTAACAGTCCTCTTGTTATTGGGTGGCTCCCTCTAGTGGTCCAGCAAGGATATAGCACAACGTGGATGGATTTGTTTCTCCTGCAATCAAGTCAATTCTGACTCAAAGGAATTCTATATTCGCAAAGTAGATTTGCGCCATAGGGTTTTCAAGGTTGTGACCTTTTAGAGGAGCATCAGATCTTTGTTCTGAGGCATCCCTAAGTGGGTTTGAATGGCCAACCTTTCAGCTAATAGTTGCTCCTTTAACTGTGTGCTCCTGAGGAGTGAAGGCTGATGTTAGGTGTGAGTTCATTTCAACTTATAACTCAATGTGACAACGTGGAACTGTACTATGGGGTTTCCTAACCTGTAATCATCACAAAAGCAGATAGTAGGTCTTCCATCCATGAAAAGCCAAAATCACTGCTATTGAGTCAATTCTGACACAAAGCGACCTTGTAGGACAGGGCCGAACTGATCCCGAGGCTGTCAATCTTTAAGGGAGCAGAAAGTCTCATCTTTCTCCCAAGGCGAATCCCATTGTTGAGTTTTGCAGGGATTGACAGAGGAAATAAAGTGCTGTCAAATCAGCTCCAACTCATAGCAAATCTGTACAGTTTCTGAGGAGCCGCTGGTGAGCTTGAACTGTCGACCTTGAGGTTCGAACCAACTTTGTAGTTGAAAGCATTAACATGCACCAGGACTCCAACGTAACGGTTGGTTGGTTATGTGCCGTGGAGTTGGTTCTGACTCATAACAACCATGTACAGGTTTTCTGAGGCTGTAAATCTTCATGGGAGCAGAAAGCCTCAGCTTTCTCCTGCGGAACAGCTGGTAATAGAGGGCATCAAAAAGTTTATGGGAAAAAAATAAATGAAAAGATAATGGAAATTTTCCACAAACTTTTTGAAGCCCCTTTGTACAGGCCAAACATGTGGACGAGTCAGTTCCAAACATTAACAATCCTGTAGGGTACAGCAGAATTGCTCTGTAGTCCATAGGGTTTCCAAGGCCCTAAATCTTTACTGTGGGGGTGGGGGGTGTTCCAGCAAAATTGCCGACCATTCAGTTAGTTGCTGAGTGCTTTATCCACTGTTCCATCAGAGCTCCTAACAATAACACACCAGAAAGGACAAGGCAGCCCTTCCTCCTTCATGACCCCAGCTTACCTTTGACAGTATTGCATAACGGTTGACATTAACCCACATATCAGCAGGCTTGTGCCATGAGTGAGTAAGTAGGAAAAGACATTATTTATTTCTAAATAAACAAATAATTCTCTGTGGTCAGTGTGGCGTTTTGTGCACCCAGGCTGAACTTGAGACCGTGTGACAGAAATTTCCCACCCAGAACCAGCTGGACAATTTCTGACTCGAGTGTCTGGGTCAACACACATTCAGTCCAACCAGAACTCATTGCTGGGTTGCTGTTGTTGAGTGCCGACGAGTGGGCTTTGACTCATAGGACACTGTATATGGTTTCCGAGGGGCAGCTGATGGGTTTGAACCTCTACTTTGCAGTTTACATTGGCCTTGTAATTCCGTGCTGATCCTCAGTGTTACCCCAGGGCTGGGCTTATTTCAAAAGCTACGCTGTTAAAGGAGTCAGGGTGTGCTGCTATAGGATAAGCACTGGGCTTCTTGCTGCAAGGTTGGTGATTCAAACCCACTAGCTACTCTTCAGAAAACCAGTACAGTGTTGCTATGAATTGGAACCGACTAGGTGGCACTTAACAACAGACTGTTAGAAAAGGAACTGGGCAGTCAGGCACATGGACTCTTCCATATCAGAATCTGAAAAATGGATGTTCACAATAATAGCATGAAATTATTATTTATTTATTTTCCTAGAGATCCAAGTCAATTCAACTAATGCTTAAGAGCACTTACCATGAGCTAGGGCAGGGATAGGGATGAAAGATGTAAAGAGAACAAGTCAAAACTCTTCCTGGATGGAGCTTCCAGTCTAGTGAGGAAGGCAGACATAAACAAGCAGATACCGTACACTGCAAAGATTCCAGCAGGGGAGAGGTGAAGGAAAGTCAAAAAGTATTGCTTCTACTGTGTCGGTTCATACATATATGGGCTTGTTCCAATCAAATACACTTAAACATGTCTCTGAGATTAGTGAATGGCTGCAGACAAGTACTCTCAATAATATACTTGTTTTAGTCTCTTTAGGGTGCCTTCAAAAGAAAAAAAGACTTTTTTTTTTAATGTTTTATTGTGAACTATGTGATAGTTTACGTGGGAGAACATTCGTTTTACATTCATCCTATCGTATATTGTTTCATTGCTATGGTTACAATCCCCTCCATGCCTCATCAAACAACCAAAGGGTATACCCTACAAGCCTGCCTCCCAGTCATCAGCACACAGCCCCTTTCCCTCTCTGGGTCTAGAGTCCCTAGCCGCTCCATCTCTCCATGTCATCATCTCTTCCTCCATATCAGGCATCCCTGCTTCTCTGGGTAGGGTCCCGCTCTCGGCTCTTCTTGCTTGATCATCCCAGGGTCTTCTGCTCCTGGACTGCAAAGTTAATCACTCCCCTCCTTGCTAAAAAAATATCTACCTTTACATTTCCAACCCTCACAATCAGTCCTGATAACAATTATTCACTATTGTATCACAAGAGACCTATCCGCATTTCATTTCATTAGCCCCGCCTAGACAGATTGGATATTACTCAGTGGCGATTCTACCTTCTTCCATGCCCTCTGGATCTAGGTTCCCTCTTGAAAGCTTGTAAGACAGTCACTTCTTGCCTGTGTAGCATCCCCATTTTGGATAGCCAATGTCCAAGTTGCCCATCCCTGTCTACTCTGTATATGGAGGGGGTGGAATGATCCTTGCTGTAAAGATTTGTTCCCTCTTTTGAGCTACTGCATTCATAGGTGTAGGTCAAGTTCATCAAATTGTATCAGATTACTCTTTTTTTCCTCTTCTTTTTATTTCTGTTTTAGCTCTGATCATCGAGTCATTGAAGCCAGGTTAAGTGGGTATTATCTTCAAGTGTGGGTGTTCTTGTGCATATGGCCTCTCTTCTTATCAGCTGGATACTTCACTCTCCACTCTAGTCCTCTGTGGCTATGTCACTGACTCTGGGCCAAAGAGTCCCCATGTCTTGCCACAATGCTGGTCAACCAGGTCTACACCCGGGTTCACAGGAGTCTATTGAACATCGTAGGGCTTAGCTTGCAGCTTCATTGCTGTTTTTCCCTCACTTCCCCTTATCAGTGACGAATGTGGTCACCAATCAGAATGTGTATTTCCATTGAAGGGGGTTGTACTGAGGGGACCCGACCACTTGCCTTGATGTCTCCTGGACAAGCAATTTGCTTGTTCTTATAGTAACAGTCGGTCTGCCTATATTGTTTTGTATTTTTCCTGTAAGTCTTTCTTTCAAGAAGTATCTTCTGTTCTTCTAGCCACTCCAGGTTGGTCTGCTTGTCCTTTCAAGTGGAAATTTCCTGTCTCTAAAGATCTGGATGTGGTTCAGGCTTTCACCTATAGTCTTATGTAATACAGAGACTCCATAGGAAGCCTCCTTCACTGGGCACGTTGTAGCCCCATTTTAGGTATTCCAATCAGTTATAGGCAAAAGTCGGACTTACAAGCTTTCTATGGTGATGTTTTTGGCTATTCCTTTCTCTCCCCCGCCAGTGTCTATTTTATAATATAATGTCAGGAAAACCAAGATTCAAAAGACAGCCAAACATCTTAACATTATTCCCCCCTTTTCTCCAAAGAGAGACTTTTGTGTCATTGAAAAATACAACTTTGAAGTCAGGGCTAATATAAAAATTTTAACAAAACTCAAGCGAATATCTTCTCACATAAAACAACACTTTTTAGATGGATCAAGCATTTTAAGGAAGGCATGCACAAAGAGAAGCCAAGAGATAGAAGACAGTCAACTTGATGAATGAAGAAACTGGATGAAGTCCAGAAACTGGGGGAGAAGACCGTGATAGCTGCTAAAGTTGGGATCGCTCATGGTTTGTCGATTTCAATTTTCAATGAATGTTTTGTCCTCAGCAAGCTTTTGGTGTTGTGAAAAGATAAGCTAGCTCAGAGTTGATTTTTCCGTAAGTTTTTTAACCAAAATTGAGGCTAACAAAGACAATTTTATGAAATAAATCATAATTGAGGATGACTCTTCACCAATACACTATAGAGCGTAAGGTCCAATTCAGAGTAAGGTCCAATACAGAGTGAGGTCCAATAGAGAGTGAGGTCCAATAAAGCATGAGGTCTCGTAGAGCCTGAGGTACAGCAGAGCATGAGGTCCAGTAAAGCGTGAGGTCCAACAGAGAGTGAGGTCCAATAGAGAGAGAGGTCCAATAGAGAGAGAGGTCCAATAGAGAATAAGGTCCAATAGAGAGTAAGGTCCAATAGAGAGAAAGTTCCAGTAGAGAGAACGATGGAACCTATGGGGGTATACAGCTACATACAGGATTGCAGATTCATAAAAATCTGCTTTTAACACTTGCCTTTTGATAATTGAACAAAACAGTCTACTTGAATATCAGAATGATAAACATCAAAGAACGACTGAGCCATATGTTTGTCAGCTCACCCCAAGGACAATGCATTCTTGTCTCACAAGAGCCAATGTACTAGGAAAGGAAACCAGTTTCTTAAAGGGTCAGAGAGGAGACCTTTGCATACTTCCCACACAAAAATAAATAACTTGAAGTCTTCTAAGAAAAGTTTCCATTCAGTGTCAGATTATTCCAGAAAGACGGTAAGCCCAGGTTTATTTGTGCTGCTAACTAACTTGCAGTGAACAATTCACATATTTTTAGCCACATCAAAGATACTGATTCAAGGCATGGCTGGCATCTCTCCCCCCAGCCCCATAGCACCTTCCTACAGAATCAAAGCCGCTTTTCGAATTTACAGTCCCTGAAAGGGATGGTGTATTCAGTAAGCAGGGTAAACACAGGCTTACTTCTGCTTACTTGTTAAGCTGTAGTAAAGAGATGAATATTTTTCA